CAAAGATGTCATTAAAAGAAGGGTTACAAGGTCTTATAATGGACAATACAAACTTCTGCAGCTGTCAGGATTTGGCATCCGCGAATAATTCTTTATTCCACAATTACCTTTCTGCTTAAGCTTTACTAACATAAGCGAGGCTTTTTTAAGTGTTTTTTTCGGGCATGGGTGATTAAATGCTATGAATGGATTTTGGAAGAATGGAATAAGCCAATGTCGTCTGCGCATCGAGTATCGGTAAACAGTAGAGGACCAAGGACAAAGCCTTGTGAGTACTGATGACAGAAAGCGAGAGGCGAGGTTTTAGTCCTGCTGACACAAGAGAGGCGTTTCTTTTTTATTGTTTTTTGTTTTTCGAACATGGGTGTAGTGAGGATGATTAAAGAAATGAAGTTGTCGTGTTGTAAATGCCACTTTGAGTTTTTTTTTACCACAGTGGTTAATGATGAAGAAGGACACCCACTCGTCCCTTCTGATATCCTTTTTCACACCCACAATGACAGCTAGACCCCACAAACGGGACGAGGCTCTATTCGCCATTTGCACATCTCCCATAATACACCTTGTTTGCCCCCCAAACATTTTGTATTCGCATTGTCTTCAATTTTTCTTGAGGTGACTGTAATAACCAGGAGAAATTAAAAACAAAAGTTATGCAAAATTTTGGGGGATAAACAAGGTGTATTACAAGAGATGTGCAGATGGCGAATGCTGTTTTCGAAAAGCGGAGTCTTAATTTACGTTTAGAGTAAATAGACTGCATTCGTATTGTTGATAGGCGACTGCAACTTGCATGCAACAGAGCCTGATGCGTGGTAATTAGATGCACGAGCCTCGATTGTAAGCTAGTTCCAGTCAATTACCGCGATTAAGAATGGGCAGATATAAGATTAAAGGGGCTATGTCAGCTGGAGAGCATGCGCTCTGAGATTATGCAAATTACTTTCAACTGTCAAAATTCTATTGTTTTTAACGCGTGACTTTCTCCATGTGCGCTCTGAGGTTATGCAAATTACTTTCAACTGTCAAAATTCTATTGTTTTTAACGCGTGACTTTCTCCATCTTCTCTGTCACGTCCAAGGCTCCGAATTTAGAGAGGTTAACAAGCGAAATGGGTTTAGATAAGGGATATTTCGATAGAATTCACGGAACGTTTTTTCTCTGGTTATGCTAGATCAAGAATAAAATTGTGAC